AGTAAGGCCAGGAGCCCCTAGTAGCGTCCTTGCTCCTAGTAGTAAGGAGCAGGAGCCCCTAGTAGCGTCCTTGCTCCTAGTAGTAAGGCCAGGAGCCCCTAGTAGCTTCTTGCATCACTTCAGCCAGCGTCAGGCTTTTTGCCCCCTAACATCCCTTAAGATTGATTTTCAACAAAAGGTCAGTAAGTTGGCCCAATAGAGGCCATACTTACAGGCTCAAAAAACTTGATCTCCTCGGCTTTCAGGTAGATCTTCGCCAGGGTCTGCAGCAAATCACTTTCCCAACCTCAAGCTTGGTAAGTTGCGGTTATTCTTTTTGAACATCTTTACTTCACAGTGGACACAACTGCTCCTGTTGGTTTGAAACCTCTCCAGTCAAAGGGACCCAAAAACGGAACATCTCATTTCAGCCCATTGTCCCAGTACAGATCAAGTCAAAAAGAGTCTTTCTCCGCTGATTTCTCCATGGCACATTTCAGAAGCCGCGTCGAGCTGCGCTTCCGGATCTTCCGGAGCCTTGACTGCCACGTTGCACGTGCCGTGCCACGCTCGCTGTGCTGTTCTACGGGTCAGGGGGTTTGTGCGACTGGTGCAAAAACTGGCGAAGAACCAACCAGTATAGAAATGGTCCAGTTCGATTATATCAAAGGACATAGCCAAATACAATATAAATGTGGGTGCGTCGTCGCTTTTCCTTTTTCTTGCACTTCATTGGACAGACTCAAGAAAAGCAAACCATGACATTTGTAGCAGCGCAATTTACGATGCAGAAAGAAAGAATGCTGCTTGAAGTTGGTCTCTCTCAGGGTTTCTTGTTTAGATGGGTGATCTCTCCAACCTCGAAGGACAAGGACATAAAATCTAAAACAAGCCAATGGGAATGCTCTTAAGCTCAATATAGGAATGCATGTTGACTGGTTTAGAAGCTTGGCCAAAGGTACAGGCTGCAAACCTGATCTTCCAATATTCAACCTTCCGCAGGCCCACACTTTGGCTTGCTTGCGGATATCCTACATCCTCTAAATGGATCAGAGAGTTCGTGCAATGCTCTGTTGGCATCTGTTGGCAGGTATTCTGTTTGGTACACCAACCTGATAAGCCGCATCCAAGCCAACTCTCCCATTCACATGCAAGTTAGGAGTGCCTGCACCAATAGCACCTATATAGCAGCAAACTGCCACGCTACTTTCCTCCAAACCTAAACCTGATAACTCTAACATACTTTACCAAGTTATGCTCTTTTCAAACAAGCAAACCTCCCAGAAGCTCCCACAAATGATGGACTCTCAACACACAGAGACACACCCCCCAAAACCCTTCATCTATAGCAGTTTTTGTAAGGCCCATCCTGGGTCCTTCGCATCTTTCACCGTGACCACAAAGGCTAAGCGGCCCAGTTCGTCCAAATGAAGCACCCATCCGGGCCCATCCAGGCTTCGACCCCTTCGACCCCTTCGACCAATAAATCGATGGACATCGCCCAGGGCCCGTCGCACGTCTCTTCGCCCAGGGCACGTCTCTTCGGCCACATCCGCGGCCTCCTGAAGTCGGTCGGAGTTCACGTAGACTGAGACGATGGAGGATTGCCTGGGATGTCGGCGCGGACCTCGTGGAGGCCTGGTGGGTGGCGCAAGCCTCAAGCAAGGTGAAACAGTGAAACATGTCTTTTGAGTTCAGGCAGGGGCAGTCGTTCTGTGGATTTTGATAACAAGTCACGTCTATGAGTGATGAGTTTTCTGAGCTATGGACGCTGTTTCCGACCGGTCGCATGACGGGTAGTGTAAGAATACTCACAATATTGGTGTATGCTTCCATGCACTCATGCAAGCTTTTGACTATAGCAAACATCTTGCCAGTTCCCACCCTCAAAAAGCAGCCGCCACCTTGTTCGATTGACAAGCACCATCTCAAAACCATCCCTCAAACCATCGCTAACCGGTAAATCTCCAACCATTGCGTTAAAGGTGAGAAGTTCAACGGAAAAAGCACAGTAGCTCTAAAAGCCCACATTCAGCTGCGGCATCTTTTGCCGGACAAGGAAGGCACTTAAAAGGCACAAACGCCAGGCCAAGGGGCGCTACGACTTTGCTTTCAAAATCAGCATTCTTCTGGAAGACCTCCAGCCTCTCTTTCGACAGCTTCAGTGCCTCCAAGAATGGGAGAGAAAAGCGACCGAGGGGTTTACACCCCAACTCGAAAGAGAGGTCTGAGGTCCTTTCTATTCTTGGTGATCATGTATGTGCTTGAATTCTGCAGGAAAGAATCAGTGAAAGGAACAGGGTCCTGTTGAATCTTTCGGGCCAAGAGCATTCTCAAGTTGTCAAGTGTCTGAAGAAAGGCTGGTGGCTGGTTGGTGTGTTGAGGGCTTTGCGCAGCATGATCAGATCAGGGCAGGGGCAACGACCAAAAACTCACTTCTCATATCTTCTCACACACCACTGGACACTGATTCAAGATTTCAAAACGCAGATTGCACAACTCAGCTCCGTTTTGAACAGGGCTCCTAGTACTTCCACTTCTTGGTTCATTACAACCTCAACCAAGTGATGAGGTTCAACCGTTCGAATTCTTTCATGCTTCTTCATGCTTCTTCATGGAGTCAGATTCCTCTCTTGATGCATTGATGCTTTTCCGCACTCACCCATTCCTGTTGATGGCCTTCTTTCCGGCTCAAGGACTCATCCCCTCCGTCGGCCTCTTCGGTCATTCCCATGGTCAGATATGCGTTGGACGCGTGGATCAGCGCCGCCGCCGACCGCGACGGCATGCGAACGTCGGCCGTCTCCTGCGCCTCGCGTAGCGCCTGTTCAGGCGTTCCGAGCAGGGGCAGTGCATAAGGTGTCGATCAACCTGGTGGAGCTTCATCCCTTTCTCCATATCATCAGTCAGCTAGAAAAGGACTTCCACACCATCTTCCTCCACTTGCGCTTTCAGCATCTCTAGTCACCCAAACCTGTCTTCTGCTGAAATGGCTAGGTTGCCATCTATTGCAGTAGATGTTTTTGGTCTCGGGCATGAAGCATAGTTGATCATCTTGCATCAGCTAACTAACGCACAGTAAGCTCCGACTTCGACTTCTCCCAAGGCGGCAGCTGCCAGCCAAGGCACCTTCTGCTCCAAGGCTGCTTGCGCTGCCTCTAAAGCCTGACAAAGACATGGATGCAAAACAGAATAAAACCAGCGTCTGTGTATGTGTGTGTGTGTGTGTTTGTATGTGTGTGTGTGTGTGGCATGGGCAAGAAGACCCTATCGATTCCATGTCTTCCATTGATCACCCCACCAAAAGAACGACTCAGGAGATTCATTCATTGTTGTCTACTGACTACTGACTATTAGGGCTTTGAACGATTTGCCTGAGCCCTGTTCAGCAAAGTAGTACCTGTTTCATCTGCTCCGACCTCCACAATCCCCCCCCCCGCTCACCCCACAGCCCCCGGCTGCCCATTGACGCCTCCTCAGGCCGATGGCGTGCCAGCTCCCATTCGCTGACACACTCCTGCTGGAAAGCCTGGGCCGCCCACGCTCCCCACGAGCACGTTCTCCCCCGGAACCTCACTCCGTCCACTCGGCACCTCGAGGCGTCGATAGCCCAGGTCTCGCCAGTAGGAGACCAGCTCCCACGAGCGCGCCACCGCCTCGTCCACCTCATTTTGGAAGGAGAGCGCCACCTGAGGACCACTGCCGTGGCCAAAATGGAACGACGTGACAATGTAGATCCTGATTCCGTAGATTTGGGGCGCACGGTGTACCCAAAAAAAGTTGCCAAATGCAAGGGCGACTCTTGGGTCTTTAACCCCACTATTTCAGAACGAGTCATGAGACCCTTTTCGTGATCCAAGGCTTACAAGGCAAACAATTTCGGAGTCCCCCTGGCGTCATCTGCAGTCTGCCCCATGAGCCGTCTGCATCTGTCCGCAAGACTCATGTGACTCATGAGGGCGCCGTGAAGAGTTCACCACAGAGCAAAGCCCAAGGAGCAGCAATGGTATGCAAGGCCTTCCCTTCACCTGCCAAGGTTGCTGCCATGCACGGCGAGCAAACGAACAAAACCCAGTGACGATGTGATAAATGAGTTCAATCCACAGAATCCACAGCTACAAAAGCTACATACATTAGCTGGCTAGTCACAAGTCATCAAAGGACTTGTACCCGCAAGTCTTTGCTCATCCCCCTGGGAACATGGCTGCGTGCTGCAACCCTCCTTGCTCACCCGCTGGTTTCTACTCAACTGCAGAATGTCTTTGCTGATCCTGAGATCTGAATCTACTCTCTACTCCAGGATGGCACCGATTCTCCAAAACGGGTAGAGAGAGAGAGAGGTTCCCCGATCTGTCCAAGCTACGCAACAAAGACCTGCTACAGCTCTGTCCAATCGTCCATCGTCGTGTCAACGAGCCCTGATTCCCGCGAAGCTCACCCCGTACTGAGCAAGGAAGTCCAGTTTCCCGGTTTCCCCGTGCAGTGCCATGCCTGTTGCATCCCCAAAAGCCTTCTCGGCAAGGTCTCTTCCTACTCTCTCACTGTCCAGTGCTCTGTGCACATTTCTTCCAACATAGAAATACAAAGCCTAAGCAAAAAACTTCCTTCCCAACTTCCCCTCCTGTTTCGTCCCCATCTCAGGTCTTCTCCCTCCTTCCTCTGCTCGCGCCTACCCGGTCGCCCACCGCGCGCAGCAGCTCTTCTGCTTGGCTGGCAGCGTCCAAGGCGCGGTCCAGTTCTTCTGGGATCTCACTCTTGGTGCCTCAGGCTGCTGTTCTACAACAGCTGCGGCGTGAGTTTTCTGTTTGAAGGAACTAAAGCATGGGCCATGTTTGGCCTGTGAATAGTGGGAAGTTCTTTAGGACTCAGTCCATCTCTATTCTGTGTGCCCACAAAGTCAGTCACAGTCCCTCAGTCTCTTTTGGGGGGGTTCCAGTTGGAATCCTTCCAAGTAACGCCCAACGCCAACCCCGGTTCGGCGGCGAAAAGAAGGATTCTGTTGAGGTACCTGGAGGTACCTGCTTCTGAGATCTATGGTTGGAAGATAGAATGTAGTGCACCTATGTTGAGGTACGATCTACTGGTGGTCGGCTTGGAAGATCCTTCATTCGAGACCACTGACACCGCAGTTTTGTGGCCCACTGTCACCCATCTTGCGCAGATGCCTCTTTGCACGTGCGTATGAGCCAGCGCGACCAAGGCCCACCCCTGGCACAAAGGTCCAATTTGATCGGAAGCCAGTGAAGCGGGATGATGGACATGATAGGGGTTGCTCTAAGATTCTGGGGATAACCCTTGTGATCACTCCAACTTGCAGGTCAGTGTCACTTGGCAAACTCGTTCTTAACCGAAAAGCGCAAGTGCCCGCCCGAGACATCAGTAGAAACCTGCTATTCCAACTCTTTTGGTTTAGAGCCATGGCTGTGTGTCTGACATGGTGTCTGCTTGATGTAATTTTATGTAGATGATCTCGGGGATTGATTTCATCGACATGGCAGTGGAATTGGTGCAAAAGTGCAAAACCTAGCAAGGTGGTTTGATGGCTCGTCCAACTTATGCAAGTTCTGCAAACGGACCCCCAAACCACTGCTTTGATCTGTTGCAAAACAGGTTTTTGGCTGGTCCATGTTCAAGTTCCAAATTGACCTTTGGGGGATCAACTTCAGCTTGTTTGAGTCGCTGCTCTACGGCGAGAGAGTAACAGATCCAGCAGCTGATGGCACGCCTGGAAGACCAAGTTGCCTAGGCCAATTCCATCATGCCCAGTAAAGGAAATGTGACGTCGTGGAACTTGAAAGTCCTCTCTGCAAAATGCCCATGAATTCTCAAGGCCTTTCAACCACGGAACCACGCCCAGTCAACCACCGGCGACCCGCCTCCATCCGTTGTTCCCCAAGGCTGCGGAAGGCTTCGACGGCCTCCAGCGCGGCCTTCAGCGCCTCCTGGTGAGCTTCCGTCTCGGTCTCCCATCCCTCCAATGGTCCAAGGTTCACGCCATTTTGTCCAAAGCCCCGCCTCTCTACTTGTATAAGTAGGCGCCTACTTGATTAAGGGAGTAAGCTCCTAGCTACTTGAGCTACTACCTACTGGACGCAGGATAGCTCACGCTTCTTCAAGGAAGCTCCCCCCCTTGAGGGCAGGGGGAGCGTCCTTCTAGCGCCTAGATGTTTAGGGAAACTTAACGGATAACGCTCTGGTCCACTCTGGTTGATGTTCTAAACGAGGCCAAAAGAGGTCCAAAAGTCCCAAATCCAAGGCAGAGGACCTAATGTTCTATGCCTTTAAGCCTGGCCTTCCAACAGAGTGGAGATCATATCATTCTCCATTTGGGGATCACTTGGTGAATGCTCGAGAAATGTTAGTCCATCATCAGATCTTCCTGCTCGAACCAAAATGTTGAATCCTGCAGAGGAGTATATGTGCTGGATCGAAGGACCACCACACAGGGGAGCGGTCCTATTGCTTTTGAGACCCACCTACTACAACATCACATCCAGCACCACCTGCCAATGCAGATTCTGAATCCCTGCTTGGCACCCTGATACCCATCAAAGATGGCTTGTTCGAGGTGCTCTGTTGGGAGTTCAGACCAACCAGGCCACCGAGAGCCCGGCTTCCGCGCGGGGCCCGGAAGCGCCCCGCCGGCCGCCGCCTCGCGACGCTTGCTGCCGCATCGGGAGTTGGCAATCTCGGCAAAGGCTAAGGTCAAAACGGCCTGAAGAGCAGCCCGACGAAATGATCTATCCCCATCACGATGCATTTTGAAAAGATCCGCCGACCCCTGCTTAGCCCTTGCCTAAGCGGGGCGGCGCCAGGGACACCGGAGGGTGGCAGTGCAAACGAAAGCCCCAGCATGCCACGTTAAGCAGCCACCCCCGCCTTCAAAGCCCTACTGCGTCGGCATCACTCCTGCACTGGCCAAACAAAGGCCGCAGCTTGGCTCAGAAAGCTTTTTCTCTGGGCTTCCGAAGGCGACGTTAGACACCCACGGGCCCCGCCCTCAAACGCTCCTCGGCAGCCGGCAGGCCTGCCGCGGCCTCTCTGTGGCCTGTCCGAAGCCTGCCTCTTCTCTTCGCCCACGGGCCCCGCCCGCAAACGTTCCTGCAGGCCGC